CGTTCAGCGCCGCTTTCCTAAAAGCTTAGAAGTTTGGCAATGGTGTTTGGAATGTCGAGCATGATCTCTGGCAACGTGTGCTCAGACAAAACAGATATGATGACATTGATACATCTGAAGCTTCACCTTTTCAACAACATGAAATACATAATGCAATTACTCAGCTCAGGAATGGTAAAGCCCCTGGTGTGGATGGCATGACTGCTAGTATCGTGAGAAAAATCTGGGATATCATTCCAGAACAAATTGAAAAGCTATTTAATACTTGTCTCTCTATAGGATATTTTCCAGACAAATGGAAAATTGCACGCATAATTCCTGTACCCAAGCCAGGGCAACCTGAAGAATCAAGACCTATCTCTCTTCTCCCACTCCTGGGAAAAACGCTAGAGAGACTCATTGCGAATAGACTAATATGGCACCTTGAAACAAATAAACTTCTCCATAACTCCCAGTATGGATTTCGACATCAAAGGTCTGCAACAGATGCTATATATGAATCGACCAAAATTATAAGACATCTATTAAATAATAATAACAGATTTGTGCTTGCTATCAGCCTTGATATTAGCAAGGCCTTTGATAGCACTTGGTGGCCATTAACATTATATCAACTGCGAGAGAAGAGATGCCCTGCTAATATATACAGAATACTACAAAACTATCTTTCCGACAGAACTGCAATTATGCAAAAAGGTACTGTTGAAGTGAGGAGGAATGTGGTAAGAGGATGTCCACAGGGTTCAGTCATTGGCCCTTTGTTATGGATAGTTACATTTGATCTCATTCTTGAACAGAATTTTGGGCAGGATGGACTTATTGCCTATGCTGACGATCTGCTGGTATTGGTAGGTGGTAATAGTAGAGCCGACCTTGAGCATAAAGGGACAGCAATTCTGGATAAAATAAATATATGGGGGAAAGAGCATAAATTACAATTTAATGCCACGAAAACCAAAGGCACAATTTTCAACCTCCCTGGACGGCCTAACTTATTCTTACGAGTACCCACGATTCGAATGGGAGGTGTTTCTATCTCTATTAAAAAAAATATAAAATATCTGGGAGTTATTCTGGATAGCAGACTATGTTGGCATGATCACATAGAATATATAACAAAGCGTGCCGGCCTCATCTTCCAAACATTCTCCAGGGTTGCAAAAAGCACATGGGGACTTACATATGAAGCTCTAGATATCATTTATAATCAACTTTTTTTACCGATAATCACTTATGCCTGTGGTATTTGGGGTTCGGCCTCACACAACACCCATCCTAAAAGAAAATTAATATCTGCACAAAGAAAGGCTATAATTCTCCTCACTAAAGCATATAGAACGGCTCCAACAGCTTCCTTACAAGTTATTACAAGGAAACCTCCTATGGACATCCACATAAAATATTTTAGCCGAATTTGCCACCTTAAATGGAGAGAAAATATTGACACTTCCACAGGTATCATAGATGTTAATGATATAGAATTCTTGACTCCTTTTGACCAATCTATAAACCCCTGTTTGCCTCCACCTCAAATGACTGATGAAGCACACGAAAGCAATATTATTATATATACTGATGGTTCCAAAATAAATAGCTATGTTGGATGCGCCTTTGTAGCATATGCACAGAATCAGGAAATTTATAGTCAAATGTTCCGACTTGGAGAATTATCTACTATATTTCAGGCAGAAATGTTTGCTATTTTAATGGCTGTTACCTGGACTAATGATACCTATAATGACTGTTATATAACAATAATTAGTGATAGTGCCTCCTCCTTGGCTACACTTCATAATAATGATCTTCATCCTATATCTACCAAAATCAAACATGTGGTCTTTACATCTAATAATAGGTACACTTTTCAGTGGACAATGGCCCACCATGGAACTGTCGGAAATGAGCGGGCAGACTTTTTAGCAAAAACCGCTGCTACTAACACATGTCTCCCTGTCTTGTATAATAAAGTAAGCATGAATGTAGTGAAAAGAATTTTATGGCTGGAACTTATAAATGAGTGGCAAGGCAGATGGGATGAATGTGAAGGATCCAGCACATATAGTTTTCTTCCAAGTATCGAAGTAACTTATAAATTTAAATGGATTAAACCAAATCACTGGATAACTCAATTTCTCACAAACCACGGGAAATTTGCCAGCTACTTCGCCAGGTTTTCTGGACTTAATACAAATTTATGCCCTATATGTCAAATCGAAGACGGAAACGTACACTATATTTTCCATTGTCCGATACTTGAAAGGGAACAAAATGAAATTCAAACTATACTACACCAACAAGGTATATCTTGGCCATGTGATTTACCTAATCTTATTAATACAAAGGAGAACTTTTTCTATTTCAACAACTTAAACAAAAGATATGGCAAACTTACTACCATTAGGGCATAACTCCCAGTTACTCTGAAAGCCTAGTGCATTTATTAATTCTAATATTCTTTTACTATTTGTTAATGCAGTGCATTTTCTGCTAACTCTTATACAACTGTTGTTATGCTTTTAAATATTTATTATTAAATCACAGGAGTTGAGGTACTCGAGATTTATTATTTTAACCACTCTTAATATATTATTGTTAAATTCAAAATCATGGTAACTATTACTGATACTGTATGCATTATAGTTCCTTCCAATTCTTTTGGCATCCTACTGCTGATTTTGTTCCTAAGTTTTGTTCCAAGGTTTTAAAGAAGGCCTTGAATTTGGTCTGTATTAGGTTCTAGGTATATTGAATGGCTGGGGATTTGCAATACTTCCTCGTGTCCTTTTACACCCAAATATGGGTCTGTCTGGACTGGGCCTTTTTGTTAACTGTCTCATTAAACAAAAATATAGACTTTACTTAATTTCAATTAAAAGAAAACTGACACGGAAGACATGCTTAGAAGTAGTATTGATAGAGAAATGGAATTTTTCCGGACACCAATTTAAGTGCTTACTTCAATATGGTTATTAATAGTGTGAAATTGTGCAACTGAATTCGTGATATACAAATTTAACCATCAGAACTAAGTTAGCTAGAGGGTTATGTGATATGGACACCTGAATGCCTGCTATTGGTGGTTGAATAATGTTGTCAAAGCCCTTTGGACTTCATGTAAAGATGGGCTTTATAGGAACTATACTTTATAAAAATTTTAAAAATATATTGTAAAATATTGTAATAATACTGTAAAAATAATATATGTAATTGAAATTTCAATTATTTAATGTTTTTATATGTTAACTGGCTATGCAAAGCGGTGCCAGACATGTAATACTTCGGCATTACGTAAATAAAAGAGTTGTGTGTGTGTGTGTGTGTGT